TCTTTTGTTCTTTTGCTCTTCTCTCCTGTCTGCCAAGACCAGGTGAGGGTTGTGGGAAGCTAACCTGAATGTAGGCCTGGAGAGTGTAATTCTCCTGTCCCCTCAGTTAGGGCTGCCATACATCCCGAATTTCCTGGACATATCCAGGATTTGTCCATAGAAAATGGTGTCCAAGAAAACCTGGCTGAATAGCAGCCTTTACAAAAAATGTTGATTTTTTTTTTAACTTCTGAAAAACTGCTGGAACAGAAGGAAATGAAGGAATGAGAATCTCTCGGTTCTGCTGTACACATTGGTGGCATATATGCACACATGGCCTTTTGGAAATGAGAAGCTCTTTTATCTCGTCTGATTGGCTGAGGGAAGGGTGATGCTGGGCAGCTGGCTGGCTTGGGATGATGGTCTGCTTCTCCACTGAAACTGACAAGGTAGCAAGAGAGCCTTGTCAGTTTCAATTTGTTCAGATTCCTTTTAAAAAACATTTGTATCTAACCCTGAGACATATGTGGGCTGGAGGTTGGGAGGATCAAATGACTCATCTTTAATTGTACTTCTGAGAAAAGAAATATAACGACAGAACTATATAGCCAGGATCTTTATTCAAGCCAACTTTGGCTTTTTGCTTTAAAGTAAGGCTACATCCACATTATGCATTGAAAGCACTCCAATACTACTTTTGGAATCATAGCTTCCCACAAAAGAAATCCTGGGAGCTGTATTTTGGTAAGAATGCTGAGCATTGTTAAGAGATCCTTATTCATTCTCCGAGAGCTACAATTCCTAAAGTTCCCTGGGAAGAGGGATTGGTCATTAATCTGCTCTGGGAATTGTAGCTCTCTCGGGGAATAGGGTCTCCTAACAAAGCTCAGCATCCTCAATCAACTATATTTCCCAGAATTCTTTGGGGGTAAGCCATAACTGTTAAAGTGACTTTTATCTTAATGATTTATTTCAAAAAATATATATTCTGCTTGATTGTTTAAAAAAACACCCCCAAGAGAATAAAACAATAATATTATCAGTAAAGGTAAAGGTAATGAGACCATTAGGTCCAGTCGTGACCGACTCTGGGATTGCGGTGCTCATCTCGCTTTATTGGCCGAGGGAGCCAGCGTACAGCTTCCGGGTCATGCGGCCAGCATGACTAAGCCACTTCTGGCGAACCAGAGCAGTGCACAGAAACGCTGTTTACCTTCCCGCCAGAGCGGTTCCTATTTTTCTACTTGCACTTTGACGTGCTTTCAAACTGCTAGGTTGGCAGGAGCAGGGACCGAGCAACAGGAGCTCACCCTGTTGCGGTGATTCGAACCATCGACCTTCTGATCGGCAAGTCCTAGGCTCTGTGGTTTAACCCACAGTGCCACCCGCGTCCCTTAATATTATCAGTAGAAACAGTCAAAAACAACTATTTAAAACATAAAAAAATAAAACCAGCAAATTAGAACATACGTCAACAGTCTACATGTTTGGGTAGAATTGTCTAAACCGATGGTTCCCAATTGGTGATCCAAGGACCCCAGGGGGTCCACATAACACACCCAGGGAGTCCACGGCACTATTCACATAACAAAAATCACCATAGACATATCATATATATTTTTCAAAAGTAGGGGATCCACAGCTTGGCTTTTGAAAAACAGGGGTTCTACAGTACTTAGCTATTGGGAACCACTGGTCTAAACAAAGAAAAAATTCTAGCAGTTGCTGCCTGATGTTAAAACAGCATACCAGAATGTTTATCTGATGAATATAGGGACGTCCTATTCAATAATAATAATAATAATAATAATAATAATAATAATAATAATAAATACCCCCACACATCTGACTAGGTTTCCCTAGCCACTCTGGGAGCTTACAGCACATATAAAACCCTAGTAAAATGTTGTACAGGGGTACCTGTACAACAGGTTACAGACTTCAGGTTACAGACTCGTACCTTGGGTTAAGAACTTTGCTTCAGGATGAGAACAGAAATCATGCGGCAGCAGGAGGCCCCATTAGCTAAAGTGGTATTCAGGTTAAGAACGGTTTCAGGTTAAGAACGGACCTCCAGAATGAATTAAGTTCTTAACCCGAGGTACCACTGTACATTAAAAACTTCCAGATACAGGGCAGCCTTCATATGTCTTCTAAAAGTTGTGTAGTTCTTTATCTCCTTGACGTCTGATGGGAGGGCGTTCCACAGGGAGGGCGCCACTGCCAAGAAGGCCCTCTGCAGCTGTAAGTGCCAGTTCTGCAGATTGAAGCAGTCCAGTATGCAAATGTGGGGTAGGGACATAAGGGTGCCTTAAATGAATAGCATGGATGTGGCTTAAGGGCCCTTTAACTATACTAATTTTTTATGGGGTTTTCTCCATGATTGCCTTGCACATGCATTGATAAACTAACTTACACCACAGTGTCACATTTTTCATGCATCTCTTCTTTGACCAGTATAGCAAACTGTGTTTAACACTGACACCATTTAAGGACTTCCTTCATTAAGTGGCTTTCAAAATCCTCCAAAGGAGATCCTTCCACTATCCTCCAAAGGAGATGTCCTTCCTCCCCTGTCATCATAATAACAATCGGTAAACGTCTTAATGCAGCCCAAGGAATGCGACACTGCTAAACTATTCTCCATAGGCAAGACTGAAAAGAATACTTAATTAATTTCTAATAATAATCCCCCCCAGAAAAACACCTTTGGGGATTTCCCAAGCACAGCTGAAAGTTTAAATAAAGTGCCTTATTAAGTGGGGGGAGAAAAAGTTAAATAAAGCACGTTCGACAAGTCTTTCTGGAGAGATCACTCCAGCTGCAGGTAGCCAGGAAGAAAAAGGCAACATGTCAAAATCTGAGCAGATTGTTGTTGTTTAGTCGTTTAGTCGTGTCCGACCCTTCATGACCCCATGGACCAGAGCAAGCCAGGCACTCCTGTCCTCCACTGCCTCCCGCAGTTTGGTCAAACTCATGCTGGTAGCTTCGAGAACACCACCCAACCATCTCGTCCTCTGTCGTCCCCTTCTCCTTGTGCCCTCCATCTTTCCCAACATCAGGGTCTTTTCCAGGGAGTCTTCTCTTCTCATGAGGTGGCCAAAGTATTGGAGCCTCAGCTTCATGATCTGTCCTTCCAGTGAGCACTCAGGGCTGATTTCCTTAAGAATGGATAGGTTTGATCTTCTTGCAGTCCATGGGACTCTCAAGAGTCTCCTCCAGCACCATAATTCAAAAGCATCAATTCTTCGGCGATCAGCCTTCTTTATGGTCCAGCTCTCACTTCCATACATCACTACTGGGAAAACCATAGCTTTAACTATACGGACCTTTGTTGGCAAGGTGATGTCTCTACTTTTTAAGATGCTGTCTGAGCAGATAGCATGCTTAAATTGCAAGGCAGCCCAGCTAGCATGGCGGTTGCAGGCTACAACTTCCATCAGCCTTAGCATCACACCATGATGCTGGCTGGGGCTGATTGGAGTTGTATTAGGGTTGCCATACGTCTGAATTTTCACTTTTTGAAATATGGCAGCCCTGGTTGTAGTCCACAATATCTGGAGGACTCCAGGTTGGTGAACATTGCTGTCAAGGCTAGTGGAGGATTAAATTCAGGGGCTGACATTGCTGTGCATTTGCCAAGGCCCATGTTTCAGCACAAGGATGCCAAATTGAATAAAATATGGATGGGGGGTAAGCCCTGCCCCACATAATCACAAGATGCAGCACACATGCACAGTATTTGAATTACAATCCCTATCAACTTTGGATGGGGCTGGCCCCTCAAATATTTTAGGGGGGTGTCAAAGGGACCTCAGCCCATAGAAGAGGCATAGGCAACCTTCGGCCCTCCAGATGTTTTGGCCTACAACTCCCATGATCCCTAGCTAACAGGACCAGTGGTCAGAGATGGTGGGAATTGTAGTCCAAAACATCTGGAGGGCCGAAGGTTGCCTATGCCTGCCACAGAAGTTGGCTCCTATGCACAAGCAGAGGATTCCCTGCTGATCTCTGATCTCTTTGGCCATCCTTCTATTTGCTTTGGCTCAGGGACAGGGAAACCCAGCCAGATGGGCAGGGTATAAATAATATAGTAGTAGTAGTAGTAGTAGTAGTAGTAGTAGTAGTAGCAGTAGTTTTAACCACAGGCCCTGGGACAGAATACAGCCCAATGGGCCTCTAAGTCTGCCTGTTGGAACTCTAGCAAAAGAATATTTCAACCCCCCCACAGGCCACAGCCCTCAGCAGTCCTGCTCCCCATAGTGTTTTTGTCTGGCTGGGAGGTGCCATTGAACTCCAATAACTCCTCTTACTTGTCTGGACTGAGGATAAAGAGGGGTGGTTGGTTTAGAAATTACCCTGCTGCAGAGTGCCTTTGTTGCCCTGCACATTTTTGTCTCTAGTTTCACCCACCACTGGCATGTGGCCCCATCCGGAAAGGAATGTGGCTCTTGCACTAAAGCAGGCATGTCCAAAGTCTGTTTTGGGGGCCTAATCCAGCCCGCTGGTCAGTTTAATCTGGCCCCTGTGGCAGTTTATTCCCTTGGGTAAAATCCTAAAAAAATACCTTAAGAACCTCAATCCCAAAAGAAGTTCAACAACTCCAACCCTAAAAAAAGCTGAACAACTTCAATCCTAAAGAAAGGTCAACAACTTTGGTCGGCCCTTTGGTCAGCCCCCACGACTCTTCACTTCATCAAATCTGGCCCTCTTTGAAAAAAATTTGGACACCACTGCACTAAAGCATACCCTTCTTTAGCTCCTTCTCCACCTGCCTACTCCAAGTTTGCAGGCAGTGACAAGCAGCAATGAGACGAGGAAGCAGCTTCCATTTGCCTGGGCTGATCCAGCCCAGAGAGCACTTAATGGGCAATGGTGAGCATGGCAAGGATATGTGCCTTAGGAAGAAAGGAAACTACTTTATTCTGAGTGTGGCCATTGGCATGTCTAGGTCAGTACTGTCCACACTAGCAGGCATCAGTTCTCCAAGGTCCTGGGCAGGGGATATTCCCAGACGTACCTGGAGCTGGCGGGGATTTGAACCTGGGACCTCCTGCATGCAGGGCAAATGCTCTACTGCTGAGCTATGGCTCTTCCTCAAATGCAACCTATTTGCAAAGGAGGCCCACTTTACCTAGGAGTCCACAGAAAACTGAAGCTGGCACAGGGCTTACTTGCAGCCACCCCAGGCACTGGTTGTCAGCTTTCATCTGCACTATACATTTGAAGCAAAAGGGAAGCGGGTGGCACTGTGGTCTAAACCACAGAGCCTAGGGCTTGCTGATCAGAAGGTCGGTGGTTCGAATCCCCGCGATGGGGTAAGCTCCCATTGCTCCCTGCTCCTGTCAACCTAGCAGTTTGAAAGCACATCAAAGTGCAAGTAGATAAATAGGTAAACTGCTCCAGCGGGAAGGTAAACAGCGTTTCTGTGCACTGCTCTGGTTTGCCAGAAGCGACTTAGTCAGGCTGGCTACATGACCCGAAAACTGTGGAAAAACGCTGGCTCCCTTGGCCTATAGAGTGAGATGAGCGCCACAACCCCAGAGTCGTCCACGACTGCACCTAATGGTCAGGGGTAAGGTAAAGGTAAAGGGACCCCTGACCATTAGTTCCAGTCGTGACCGACTCTGGGGTTGCGGGGCTCATCTCGCTTTATTGGCCGAGGGAGCCGGTGTACAGCTTCCGGGTCATGTGGCCAGCATGACTAAGCCGCTTCTGGCGAACCAGAGCAGTGCACGGAAATGCCATTTACCTTCCCACCAGAGTGGTACCTATTTATCTACTTGCACTTTGACGTGCTTTCAAACTGCTAGATTGGCAGGAGAATGGTCAGGGGTACCTTTACCTTTATACATTTAAAGCAGTGTCCTAACACTTTGAACAGCCATGGCTTTCCCCAAAGAACCTTGGGAATTGTAGTTGGCTAAGGTTGCTGAGGGACACGGGTGGCGCTGTGGGTTAAACCACAGAGCCTAGAACTTGCTGATCAGAAGGTTGGCGGTTTGAATCCCCGCGACGGGGTGAGCTCCTGTTGCTTGGTCCCTGCTCCTGCCAACCTAGCAGTTCAAAAGCACATCAAAGTGCAAGTAGATAAATAGGTAAACTGCTCCAGCGGGAAGGTAACAGTGTTTCTGTGTACTGCTCTGGTTTGCCAAAAGCGGCTTAGTCATGCTGGCCACATGATCCAAAAACTGTCTGTGGACAAATGCCGTCTCCCTTGGCCTATAGAGTGAGATGAGCGCCGCAACCCCCAGAGTCGTCCGCGACTGAACCTAATGGTCAGGGGTAAGGTAAAGGTAAAGGGACCCCTGACCATTAGGTCCAGTCGTGACCGACTCTGGGGTTGCAACGCTCAACTCGCTTTATTGGCCGAGGGAGCCGGCGTACAGCTTCCGGGTCATTTGGCCAGCATGACTAAGCCACTTCTGGCAAACCAGAGCAGTGCACGGAAACGCTGTTTACCTTCCCTCCAGAGTGATACCTATTTATCTACTTGCACTTTGACGTGCTTTCGAACTGCTAGGTTGGCAGGAGAATGGTCAGGGGTATCTTTACCTTTATACATTTAAAGCAGTGTCCTAACACTTTGAACAGCCATGGCTTTCCCCAAAGAACCTTGGGAACTGTAGCTGGCTAAGCTTGCTGAGAGTGCTTAGGAAATCCCTATTCCCTTCATAGAGCTACATTTCCTAGAGTTCCTAGAGGTTGTTAAACCACTCTGGGAACTGTGGTTCTGTGAGGGGAATGGCGTGTGTGTGTGTGTGTCTCCTAACAAACACTCAGCACCCTTAATAAACCACAGCTCCCAGGATTCTTAGGGGGAAGCCATGACTGTTTCAAATGTTAGGACACTGCTTTAAGTGTATAGCGCAGATGGCACTGAGGTGTTGCCCTTGTATAATCCATCAGGGAAGAGGATGGAGTGGGGAAAGCTGGAATTAGTTGGCCCTTCCTGTCATTGGTTCCAGCTCCACCTTCCTGTGGCTTCCCTGCTTTCTCCCCTACCAGTCCTAATGAGCACCGGCCGCCACTGGTTGCAAGGAGGCAACACAATGACACCTGCCTAATTCTTGAGGAGTCCTTCCCTTCTAACTGGTTATAACCCATTTCCTCAGCTGCATCCATCAGAGGTGGGTCACTGTAACCCAGTAGTTAGCTTACAAGATGCAAAAGCTGGCCTTGACACAGGTGGAGCTTTGCTTCTCAGTGTCCCATGATTAATTCAGAAGTCCTTCTAGATATGTACCATTAGCTCTGAGCTAATTTTGATGCCACCCCAACAGTTTCTCTCTCTCTTGCTCTCTTTCCCCGTTAGATACATTATTGATTCCCCTTTGTTTAGCCCTAGCCTAGTTTTCTAATTAAGCAGCAAGTTTAATTATACCACAAACGTATGTGGCGTAGATCCTGATTATTAACCGCAGCCCTTGGGATAACAGAATGAGCAAACTGAAATTAAATAGAACTGTAAAAATTAGTGACCTTATCTCTATATCTGTAAGCCTCTGCTACATTCAAATGCTCCAGAGCCCTGCACCTTGCTGCCTCGTTGAAACGCTGCCGTCACATCTATGAATTGTTTGAGCAAATGCTGGTGGCTGTCAGCTCTAATGAGTGTAGGTTTAAGGATATGTCAGGTTCAAGCTGCCGGGGAAAGCCAAGGAGCACTGAAATAGTTCATCATGTCGTTCTCTCTAAAAATATGCTACCATTTCTCCTGCCCCTGCTCAAGAAAGCATGGCAGCTGAAATGGGGGTGTCGGGACTTGCTTGCTTGGACTCCCAGTGCAAACCCAGGCAGGGCCAGCCCTACCATCAGGCAGAGTGAGGCGACTGCCTCAGGTATTAGCTCCTTGACCATACCCTTCTGTTGGAGAAGAGAGCTGTGTCTCATGCACCACCTATTCCACCTTTATAACTAGTCTGCTGGTCTCCCTCAGGGGCAGTAAAGTGCCCCAGCGCTAGTACTGAAGTAGTATTCTGCAGCCAGTCCAGTCTATGTGGAATGGGTGAGATTTTGTCCTTTGCCTCAAGCTGCAAAATGTCTTGGGCTGAGCAATAGCCCCAGGTGACCAAATACCAGGGCTCCCCCCCCCAAATAGGGTGACCCACTTCCTCATTGCCAAAAAGGTAAAGGGTAAAGGGACCCCTGACCGTTAGGTCCAGTCTTGGCCAACTCTGGGGTTGCAGCACTCATCTCGCTTTATTGGCCGAGGGAGCCGGTGTACAGCTTCTGGGTCATGTGGCCAGCATGACTAAGCCGCTTCTGGCGAACCAGAGCAGGGCACAGAAACGCCATTTACCTTCCCGCCAGAGCGGTACCTATTTATCTACTTGCACTTTGACGTGCTTTTGAACTGCTAGGTTGGCAGGAGCAGGGACCGAGCAATGGGAGCTCACCCCGTTGCAGGGATTCGAACCACCAACCTTCTGATTGGCAAGTCCTAGGCTCTGTGGTTTAACCCACAGTGCCACCCGCGTGCCAAAAAGGAGAAGACGACAAATGTGGATAGAACTTGCATATACTAATACACACAGAGAGACACACACAGAGAGACATATAAAATTAAGAATATAGAAAGTTGCCTCATATCGAGCAAGACTTTTGTTCCAGCTAGCTTGTTCCAGTCCGTGTCGACTCAAAGCAGCTCTCCAGGATTTCAGACAAAGGTCTATCCCGGTCCTACCTGGAGATGTCATGGGTTGAACCTAGGAACTTCTGCATGCAAAGCAGATGCTTTTCCATTGAAAGGTCTGGATATATGCCATTGCTGCATTTTCACATGGAAATTATCAATATGTTTCACCTGCCCTGTTGAAGCACAGCCAGGATGGTGGATAGTCACTCAGAAATGTAGTTAATAATAATTTTAAAAAGCCTTATCAGGAGACACTGGGGCTGGGAGCAGCAACCTTAACAGTTGAGACCTTTAAAGGCCTTAGTCCCTCTTTCCCTCTTTTAATATTTCAGGAGATGGTGTCTCACAAAAGCATGGTGGGGAAAGATAACTCCTCCTCTCTCCCACCCTCCGAGCCTCTATACCAGGGGTAGACAACCTAAGGCCCATGGGCCACAAGTGGCCCACGGGGGTCATTTAACTGGCTCACAAGCCGCCCCCAAACTGAGCCACCCTCTCTGCGAGTCCCTGCGCGCTGCGTTGAACTGGCACAGCGCAGTGTGGGGACTTGCTTCCGTGGTGCTAGAAATCGCATCAGCGCATGCTCAGATGCCGAAAATCGTGTCTGCGCAGACACCGGAAATCGCAGCTGAGCGCGCTCATGTGCACACGCGATCCGGCCCGCAGAGGGATCTCCGCTGGAGTGAACCGGCCCAGGCGAGGTAAACCTTGCCGACCCCTGCTCTATACCTCCAGGCAAAGTTGCCCTGCATGCAGGGAGTGATTGGAACATTATCTGGGGGAATTCTACTTGTGGCACTGTACCCTGCAGAATATCATAGGACAGCGGCTCAGAAAAAGGCATTTTCTGCAGCCTCAGACATCTTGTGAAGACTTCCCTTTCTGGCCAGGCTTTCCTTGACCCATAAGACTGCACCCTGTTTTACATGTTTGAAATTCTGTTTCGTTCGTTCTTATACACTTTTGTGTCATTTTTATATTGCCATGTTGGTGGTTTCTAGATTTCTAGGATTTTTGTTTTATGACATATTGCTTGTTTTTAGACAGTTGCACCCCATGCTTTTGTTCTGGGGGGGGGGGGCACAGCGATACACATACTTCTAAACATTTTGTCAATCTAAGTTTGGCCTCATTTAGGGGCAGTATTTCAATATGAGTAGGAAAATGAGAGTACCCCTAAACATTTTTTTAGAAAAAAGCACTGGTTGCACAGATTAGAGATTTTTGATATATTAAGTAGCATATAGGTGCTTTTAAAAAATAAGTAAAATAAAACAAGTGAAATAGAAGGTGCATTTATTTCAGTTTTTCTTTCAAAACAAGCTTTGATTAGTAACGGGCACAAAATTTTCTACACACACAACACACAACACACCATAGCCTAGCAGGCTACTAGTTTTGTTTTACTTAACTTGCAAGTGCCATAGGCAGAAAGGTATGGAGAGGTCTTGTCAGCCATAAGCATTCATTCCAACTTGAGATGAGCCTGTTGCATCACATGCATTTGATAACAGAAAGCAAGAGGCTACCTGTGGTCGATTTTCATGCTACAGAAGCCTTTCAGCCAATAAAATGTTATTTTAAAAAGGAAAGCCAAATCAACAAATGTATAAGGCTATATTAAACTGACAGCTGTCCTAGGAAATTTGCACAGCCAAGAGTTAGCTTGCAAATTCTAGTGTGCAAATTCTTTGAGAGTCTACCACTTCATCAGCGTTAAGTTGATGATGTTAATTGTATATGAAAGCATAAATTTAAAAAGAAAAAAACTAAGTGAAAGACCAGGGGGTAGGAAATGACAGAAGGGTGCAATCCCATAATGATTTGAATGATTGGCTATGAAATCTTGATAAACAATGATAAATTCCTTGGGAATGTAGCAGGGTAGCAATGAGAAGAGAAGAAATAGTCATTCTCTTCTCATGGAGTAATCAGGTGATAAGACTTCCTGGGACTAAACCATTTCATGGAGGATGCCAGGTTGGCAACCCATGATTTAGGGCCTCTTTCCCCAACTGGATGTCCTCCAGATGTTTTGGAGTAGAGCAACCATCACATGTGATTTTTGGCCATGCCGATTAGGGATGATGGGACATGGAGCCCAAATCATCTGGAGAGCATCAGGTTGGGGAAGCTTGGTTGGGAGTGTTGGGCTAGGGACTAAGAAGACCCATTTTAAGGGCCAACCCAGCTATGAAGTTTGGGTGAGTCATATTCTCTTAGCCTAGCTAAACTCACAGAGGTGTTATGAGGATAGAAATGGGTATGGTGTCCTCCTGAGCTCCCTGGAGGAAGGATGGAGTAAAAATGGATGATACAATCTTGATTCTGAGCCATTGATCGCTTCCTGGGTACCGCAAAAATGGTGGTATTTTATAGCTCAGCTTATTGTGGTTCTTTCGTGAACATTTCTGACTGTTGTCCCCTATCAGTTCCAGAAAGAGAAAAGGCTCTCCTGTAAATTTTGAAACTGTCATGTTATTGTTATGCTCCACTGTGCCACATCAAAGGATGATCGAGGTAATAGGATGTGGCTGGCTATGAATTCCATTTCCATCCCCTCTGTAATTTTTCGATAAGTACATCCCTATTAGGCTAAATTCCTTAGCCCATCCTCACCTTCAAAATGTTTCCTTTAATCGTCACAGGATTTGCTTCAACCTGCCACAAGTCAGCTAGCTGCCTTTCTCTCTTTGGCTGTTCTTTTATGTCACCTTCAGTTTTGATATAAGTTGTTGCTGCTGCTTTTACTACTGTTAGTGCTATTGCTACAAAAGGGGCTTCATGGGTAACATAAGAAATGCCCTGCTGGATCAGATCAATCTAGCTATGTAGCCCAGTACCCTGCTTTCCAGTGTGACCAATCGGATGCCTCCAGGAAGCTCACAAGCAGGGCAGAAGACAACAGGCCTCTCTTGCAACCACCACTGAACTGAAGGCTCCATTTAGTCATTATTGTTAATAGCAATAAAAAGACCTATTTTTTCTGTGAATTTGTGATTACCAAACATTAATTGTGCAGGTGACAAGTAGAATAGCATAGATGTGTTGAATAGCATAGATGACAGAATGGACCTTTTTTGGGACCCTATAGCTTAAAGCAATAGGACTAAGCAACAGTACAACTAGTACCACTATCTGTTAAGGACTCTGCAGGTAGGAGAGGAGGGGACAGAACTCACTGGTAGAGCATCTGCTTTGCATGGAGAAGGCCCTAGATTCACTCTCTGGCATCTCTAGGTAGGGTTAGGAGATCTGTGTTAAATCCCAGAGATCCACTGTCAATATAGAAAAACTGGAATATGTGCAGAGGAGGGCAACCAATAAGATAAAGGGTCTGGGAACCAAGTTTTATGAGGCCTGGTTGAGGGACATGGGTATGTTTAGCCTGGAGAAGAGAACATGTATAGAATGCTGACGCTGTCCTGACCCAGGATGTTGTTCTTCATCAGGCTGATAGTAAGGCCAAACTCCATGTAGGCTTGAGTAAAATGGTTGATTAGACTCTGTAGAGCCTTACTTGGTGTGTGCTGACAAGGCTGTGTCATCTGCAAGCAACATCTCATGGATAAGGACCAACCAAACTTTGGTCTTGGTGTGGAGACATGCCAGGTTGAACAGACCTCTGTCACTCCTTGAATGGGTGTACACACCATCTTCAGCTGAGCTGAAGGCATATGAGAGCACAAGAGTGAAACATATACCAAAGAGAGTAGGGACAAGAACACAGCCCTGCTTCATGCTGCTCTTTATAAGGATGGGCACACTTGATGGTGTCATACATGTTTTCATGGAAGGACGTGATCATTTTGTGGAGCTTAGGAGGGCATCCTATCATACTGAGCAGAGTGAAGAGTCGGTTTTGGCTGATGAGGTCAAAGGCTTTTGCCAGGTCAGCGTACAAGGGGCATCTCTGCTCTTGGCATTTCTCCTGCAGCTGATGCAGTGAGAAGATCATGTTGGCTGAGCTCTAAAGCCACATTGTGAGTTGGGATAGACCCTGTCAGCAAGTGACTGTAATCTGTTGAGAACTACATAGGCTTTCCCCACAGTACTCAGCAGGGAGATTCCATGGTAGTTGTCCCAGTCATGACCAATGGTCGGCAACCCTTTTCAGCCGTGGGCTGGTCCACCATCCCTCAGACCATGTGGTGGGCCGGACTATATTTTTTTTGGGGGGGTGAACGAATTCCTATGCCCCACAAATAACCCAGAGATGCATTGTAAATAAAAGGACACATTCTACTCATGTAAAAACACACTGATTCCCGGACCATCCACAGGCTGGACTGAGAAGGCGATTGGGCCGCATCCAGCCCCTGGGCCTTAGGTTGTCTACCCCTGGTCATAGAATCATAGAGTTGGAAGAGACCACAAGGGCCATCGAGTCCAAACCCCTGCCAAGCAGGAAACACCATCAGAGCACTCCTGACATATGGTTGTCAAGCCTCTGTTGGAATTATTTACACCGGACAAGAGGGTACACAGAGACTGAACATGGAGCCCGGCACGCTTCCGTTGCGGAACTCTGCAAGCTATCCGTGCCTCCTGCAAAAATCCTCCTCAGGCCTCTTTCTCTTGCCGGTAGCAGAGCGAAACACAGCGGTGAGAAGCAGAGTGCAGCACGTGTGGAATAAATCAGTCCAGACACAAGGCAGTCCTTATCTACTCTTGCCTTTTAATCATGAAGAATAACATCATAAATTCAGACCTGGCGAGAACTGACACATTCTCCCTTTCGCATCACGTCCGAAAGTCAGACTGAAACACACGGAGTCAAACCCCTCCCTTAAGTGTTTCTAACCACGCCTCAGGAAAGAGACGTCACCAGAACTCTTTAACTCTGTGAGTTCTGAAACCATTCACACCCCCTCTCGTCACGAATCCTGAGGGAAACTGTGAACCCCTATTTACAGACCTCTTTGAGTTCAACTCACCTCCCATTGCCTTTTGCCTCCCACTGGCATCCATCCCAGGCAATTGTTGAATCCCTTCCACACTCCCAGAATCACACTGTGCGAAACCAACCCACGCACTGGTGACCTGAAACCTCTCCGGTGGAATCCCTTTGTGGTCCGGAGTTGACCGCCGGAGCACAACCTCAGGCGCTCCTCCTGACCCACTGGGGTCAGCAAGTGTGTCTCCAGCAAGCTCAGAAGACTCCCCTCTGACTTGCTGCGTCTTCGGGCTTCCTGCACTTGGCTAACAGGAGATGAAGGCTCACTCTTGGGTTCCCTCTTAACCTGTGGAGAAACCCACCCCTGTGCTTGACCATCATCAGCAACCTGGTCTTCAGCAACAGGCTCCGCCTCTGCCTCTCCTTCCTCCCTTTCTTCCTCCTTTTCCTCCCCCTCAGAATCGGACAAGCAGTCTGAGAGAAAATCAGAACCATACCTAGGCTGTGACCAACCATCCTGCTCAAAGAACTCAGCATGCTTGCTGACCAGCAGCGTGGTCTGATCACCCTCTGGGTATGCAAACTTCCACCCATTTGTTGCAGGATCATACCCACAGAAGATCATGTCCTGGTACCTAGGACCATCCTTCTTCCGTTGCGCTGTTGGTATTGGCACTGAAGCCTTGGAACCAAACGAACGGAAGAAATGCACCTGTGGCTTCCTCTTGTGCAACAGAAAATACGGTGTGTCACCTACATCGTGATTGTAGGACCTGTTAAAAACAAAGTTGGCAGCTTTCCAAGCTTCACTCCAAAAGCTCTGAGGCAGCCCAGAGTCACCCAGCAAAACTCTGACAGCTTCAGCCAGTGTTTCACTCCTGTGCTGTGCCACGCCTCTCCCTTGAGGAGACTTTGCACCCGTCACGTGGTGACGTATTCCTTTTTCCTTGAAAAACTCCTCCAGAGCAGACCCAGTAAACTGTGACCCTCGGTCGCTCTTGAACCCTTGCACCCTGGTGGAAAACCTTCGTTCCACCTCCGCAACCCAATCCTGGATCAGTTGCGCCGCCTCCCCCTGTGATTTGAGAGAGAAACACCAGCCAACCTGGCTGTGGTCATCTGTCAGCGATAGCACATACTTGGCCCCACCCAGACTCTCACACCTCATGGGTCCTGACAGATCTGTGTGAATCAACTCAAAAGGTTTTGTGGTTACCCTCTTTACCCGGGGAACCCTGCACCTTTGAACCTTGCTGCATGCCCTGCACACTAGGGATCCCTCACATGGTGTGATTTTACATCCTTCGGTGCAGCCTGGCAGCCTCTTAACATCCTCCAGACAAGCATGAGACATTCTCTTGTGCCATACATGAACACATGAATCATGGCTGGGAACACTAGCACACTGCGCCTGTGCTTTCCCTGCATTCCCACCACCCTCCAGAGGTGTTTCCAGAACAAAGAGATTGTCCTTGCTCTCCACGTTGACAAGTTGCCTCCCCCTCTGAAAATGGAACAGGTGTTATTTTCAAAACAAATTTTGTATCCCTGCTTCGCCAGAGCAGAAACCGATAACAGGCAACACTTCATCCCTGGTACAATGAAGCACTCCAGCTCAGCCTGCAAAACAGAATTATAGACATTTGCCACTTTAGATACATTTCGTTTTTTCCCGTCAGCAAATTTACAAGTCATTCCAGTTAAAACAGCCCTGCAATTCTGCAGCTCCCCAGCAGATGGCGTTATCAGGTGATGACTCGCTCCTGAGTCCAGCACCCACTTCATAGTTGTGTCCCTGCTGGCATTGTTGTTCAAAGTTGCCAGAGAAGCCGCGAGATGATAACAGTCTCCCTTCTCTGAGTCACGTCCCTCCTTCGCGTTCCCACGCTGGCCTCCTCTCCGAGACTGGTTCCCATGAGAACTCAGCTGGTTGACCTTGGAGACATCCTGCCCGGCCTCTCTGCTCTTCTGCGGACAAGCCCGTTTTAGATGGCTGTTGGATCCACAGACATAACATCGACGAGTGGAAAAAGCCTGAACACAGCTCTCATCTGGCTTGCCCCCCACCTCTGCAACCGGTGGAGCTGCCTGCGCCAGACCTGCCTTCTCGGACACGCCTCTCCTGTTCGTCCGAAAGACGCCCTGTCACGTACGATAGCGTCAAATCCTGTGGACTCATCGATTCCATAGACAGACACAAATTGTCATAACTTTTGTCCAGAGAGCTGAGCAAAATATAAACCTTCAGCTCTTCTGAAAAGTTGACCTGTAACAGGCGCAACTCATTGAAAACAGAAAGCATCTCAGTAACATGCTGTCTGATGTTCCCACCGGGACGCAGCCTCATCTCAAATAAGCGTCTGGTGGTGTGGATCTTTGCACCAGCCGTGGTTCTGTGGTGCACCCTCTCAAGGGCTTGGTAGGCCTCCTGAGCAGTCTCAAGCCCTTCAACCAGAGGAAGTTGGGAACCCTCCAAACTGAGCACTATAGCTCCCAGGGCTTTCTGGTTTTTTCCTCTGCGACGCGTGAGCAGCCGCTATGTCCGCTGCTGCTGCTCCTGCTGCAGGTGGTGGGAGAGGGGGCCCCTGGGTCGCCTCCCACAACCCCTTGGCTACCAGCCAGGCCTTTAGCTTCCGGCTCCATTCGGCCCAATTTTGTCCATTTAATTTCTCAAAGGGAACTGAGAATGATTCACGATCGTCTGCCATCTCCTCCCCGGGGGCTAAGCTTACTCACGTCTCCCGGCAGTAGCTTTCTCCGCCTCCCGGCTCCGGCAGATCGCTTCTCCCCAGCGAGCTCCTTCCAGCTTCAAAGACACAGCTCCAGAGCTCCAGCTGGACCCCAGCAACTTTCCTGCTGGCTTCCCCCACACGTGGGACGTTCCTGCAATGCTTCAAAGCTTTGGCGAGCTCCCATAACCTGTTGGAATTATTTACACCGGACAAGAGGGTACACAGAGACTGAACATGGAGCCCGGCACGCTTCCGTTGCGGAACTCTGCAAGCTATCCGTGCCTCCTGCAAAAATCCTCCTCAGGCCTCTTTCTCTTGCCGGTAGCAGAGCGAAACACAGCGGTGAGAAGCAGAGTGCAGCACGTGTGGAATAAATCAGTCCAGACACAAGGCAGTCCTTATCTACTCTTGCCTTTTAATCATGAAGAATAACATCATAAATTCAGACCTGGCGAGAACTGACACATTCTCCCTTTCGCATCACGTCCGAAAGTCAGACTGAAACACACGGAGTCAAACCCCTCCCTTAAGTGTTTCTAACCACGCCTCAGGAAAGAGACGTCACCAGAACTCTTTAACTCTGTGAGTTCTGAAACCATTCACAGCCTCTGCTTAAAGACCTCCAAAGAAGGAGACTCCACCACACTCCTTGGCAGCAAATTCCACTGTCGAACAGCTCTTACTGTCAGGAAGTTCTTCCTAATGTTTAGGTGGAATCTTCTTTCTTGTAGTTTGGATCCATTGCTCCGTGTCCGCTTCTCTGGAGCAGCAGAAAACAACTTTTCTCCCTCCTCTATGTGACATCCTTTTATATATTTGAACATGGCTATCATATCACCCCTTAACCTCCTCTTCTCCAGGCTAAACATGCCCAGCTCCCTTAGCCGTTCCTCATAAGGCATCGTTTCCAGGCCTTTGACCATTTTGGTTGCCCTCCTCTAGACACGTTCCAGTTTGTCAGTGTCCTTCTTGAACTGTGGTGCCCAGAACTGGACACAGTACTGGACACAGAACTGGTCATGACTGTCACCTTTGTTCTTGTAGACGATCACAATGCTGGTGTTACACATGTCTTGTGGCATGAATCCTTGTTGTCAACACTGCAAGAGGAGGCTGTGGAGGTGTGACATGAGGGAGGAATTGAATCCAGCTTTCAGCACTTCTTTTGGGATTCCATCCTGTCTTGAGTTGATGGCATTCTTCAGCTCGTCAAGGGAGGGAGGGAGATGCAGTTATTAAAAGAGTAGTGAATAAAGATGGGTATGAAATATTTGTCATATTTAACCCTTATTCAGGGGAGTTTTATTTACCTAACTTACGAAGGAAACATTCACAATAAGCTTTTGAACCATTCATACTTTGGCTCCTCCTGCAGAGGCATAGGTAGCCATCAGGTTTAACCACCTAACTGGAGTCTACAGATAGCTGACTCCCCCCAGATGCTACAGGCAGTGTGCTGCAAACTTCTGACTACCACATAGCTCCCTGTCATCAGAATTCACCTCAGGCCTTGCTGTAATTGACTGATGGGAGACTGTATTTCAGAACATCTTCTATTTTTCGGGAAAGCTGGATGAAGTTCATACATCATCATAATCTATTCTTGGTCTGCCTTGTTATGAAGGGCATTACTGGACAACACTAATGGCCAGAGAATGGCTTTTTAATTTTCTCAGGTAACAGAGATGAAATTTAAAATGCAAATGTTATTTTAAGTGCCTGCTATAATTATCAGCTGGGAAATGGCTCTTTATATTAGTCTTAAAAATGCCTGCATGCATGAAGGCGTTTGCTATTGTACCCTGCAGCTTCAATTAGATTTAATTTATGCCAAGGTAGCAAGCAAGCATGCCCTTAGAGATCCTGTCCCACAAACTACTGAAAAGAGTCCTTGGCTATATAAAAAAATAACAATGAAGAAGCTACTTAAGAGATCAAGTAGGACTCTTTGTTGCCATTGGGGACATGTAAGACGCCCTCTCCTAACTGGTCAGTTGTTTAGCATGCAGTGGGTGAAATTCTATCAGCTTGATTCAGAGTAAGATGGGTATATTTACAATTGGGGATGGATCAGCATATATATTATTTATCATTTATTAGTTTATATATAGCTTACATGCCAAAATGTCTTCTAAATGGCTTACTGATATAAAATTATAGAATCGCAGCATTGGAAGGAAACCTGGGAGTCATCTAGTCCAACTTCCAACAATGCAGGAATCTTAGTTAAATCATCCAGGGCAGATGACCATCCAGCCTCTGCTTAAAAACCCCCAAGGAAGGAGAGTCCACAACCTTCTGAGGGAGACCATTCCATGGTTGAACAGCTTTTACTGTCAGAAAGTTCTTACCGATGTTCAGTGAGAATCTCCTTTCTTGAATCCATTGGTTTGATGTTTGAAGATGGCTATCATATCTCCTCCCAGTCTCCTATTTTCCAGGCTAAACATATCCAACTCCCTCAACTGTTGAATTATAAAATTATAAAATCCATCCATGTTTAAAACAGAAATAAAATGATCCTATCAAAGCACTACAAAGACATACATAATTAAAATATGCAATACAATAAGTATACCAATTAAAACAAGGAACAATTAAAGGAGGAAATTCAGGGAGTGCTTGCCTGAATTCAGGGAGTGCTGGTGTGTGTCCAGGGCAACTGTCTACCAGCACCGTCTGGTATGCCGGCTGAGACCCTACCTGCCCACACACTGTCTTGCCAGAGTGGTACATGCTCTAGTTATCTCCTACTTGGACTACTGCAATGCGCTCTACGTGGGTCTACATTTGAAGGTGACTTGGAAACTGCAACTAATCCAGAATACAGCAGCTGTGGATGGACCTGGGACCTTCTGCATACAAATCGGATACTGTAGCACTGGGCAATGGCTCTTCTCAGAAGGTTCACAACCATCAAGGACTGGCTGATTGAGAAGGAGGCTCAGACAATAAAATGCTTCCATACCCTGTTAAAGCATCTGGTTTGGACCATCTGGCCCAATAAATGCATTGGAAAGCCTACAAAAATGTATGTTTTTTGGGGGGGTGATACATGTGCAATGCATACAAAATGCATATAAAACATGTGTAATTTAAATGCAATTTTGAATGCGATCTCTTTTTAAAAGGAGGTGATGGAGGAGGGAAAAAACCAAGATGCAGTCGACTTAAGACTGATCACATGTGAAATTGACACTGACTGGAAATAGACTGAGCCACCCATCCCTTCTCAGTCTGCAATGCAGAGAAGCATTATGAGTTGGACAAATTTGTAGACTGAACCAGATAATTGCAAACCTAGGCATTGTCCCTAGAGATAAGTGTTCAGAGGAGATTGTTAACAACCAAATGGACTCTGTAGTAGTCAATGCATTTGTGAAATAATCAGGAGCTGTCAGAGTCTATCTGGCTTTATCTCAGCTCTTGGGCTGTGGGGTGTGTGTGTAAAAAGACGGCTAAGTCCAGTCAAAGGCGACTATGGGGTTGCGGCACTCATCTGTGTATACTGTGACCATGTCTATAGGAATGGCTCTTAATATTTATTTATCTCTTCTTATTATTTATTAAATTTATATACAGTGGTACCTCAGGTTAAGAACTGAATTCGTTCTGGAGGTTCGTTTTTAACCTGAAACTGTTCTTAACCTGAGGGACCACTTTAGCTAATGGGGCCTCCCGCTGTCGCCACACGATTTCTGTTCTCATCCTGAAGCAAAGTTCTTAACCTGAGGTACTATTTCTGGGTTAGCGGAGTCTGTAACCTGAAGTGTCTGTAACCTGAAGCATCTGTAACCCGAGGTACCAGTGTACTGCCTTTCTCCTGATGATCACAGGATGGTTTGCACCCCCCTTTTTAGGCCTTAGAGGCTCGCAGCAAGATTGCTTGCTGAAGATTCTCATTATAAAGACTACAGTCAGGTCTAGCATCAAGAACAGACATAACACAATGCAACTGTGAATCTAGCATAGTACCACACATCCATATACATAGTTTAGATGGCAACAATCAGGCCATGGTGGGGAAGTAAGGGTGACCCATTTGATACACTGCTTAGGGTTGTGGGTTTGGTTTGGTTTTCCATCTTGAAAGCAGCACTGTGTCCAAATTGTCTCCTACATTTTCCATTGCTTGGTGAGAAAAGAACTTGCATGAGAAGATAGTCAGATAAAATTTTGGTGACATTCTCATGAGTGGCGTGTAGGCTCATGTTGTTCCCAGCTCTTTTTGGTAAACAAAAGAAATGAGGTGCCAGTACTCATGTCTTGATAAAAGTGTCATGGATGCCAGCACAAAATGACTGCCATGGGAAGCAAAAATATACCACCACCACCCACACACAAGAGCACTGGTTGTGCCTTACTTTCAGGGTAGCTAAGAGGTGTTTTTCAGTCACCTTTATTTCATACTACAAAACATCTCTCTGGTGGTCTGTGTTCTGCAGACTTTATAGATTCTTGCCCTTCCATGAAACCTCACCATATCCTCAGCTGGGTATTCCTTTAAGTACAGAATGGTGGAAATCTGTACAGAATGGTGGAAATCAACAAAGCTAGGAGGAAGAACTTCCCTTAAAAACAAGACGAGTGAGCACACTGACCTCATGCACTGGGAAGCCAGACTCCTTTGTTTCCCAGGCTTCAGTTAGAACTCAGGGGAAGTCATTGGTAGATAGCTCAAGCCATGGGGCTGCCAGATCAGGAAGTGCAAATAGCCAGGGAGGTGTCAAAGTGGTGTTGAAATGATGAATGCAGGGGTTCCTAGCCCTTGGACCTCCATATGCAGTTGGAGTACAACTCCCACCATCTCTGAGCATTGGTTGGGGCTGCTGGAAGTTGGATTCTCAACAACATCTGGAAGGCTACAGTCAGGCCTTCCAAGTGTCCCTTTTTCCAGGGATACTCCTGGATTTACAGAAGCTGTCCTGGTTTCTGATTTGATCCTGGAATGTCCTGCTTTTCCTTAAGACATCCCTATTTTCATCAGATAAATATTGGAGGGTATGCCACAGGTTAGACACCTTGGCTGAATAGAAATGGAAACGTACACACACCACCCAAAACCACCTCACAACCAGAAAGCAAGCTTTGCTTCACCCACTAAAATTCTGAATACGTTCTAAAGGTCCATGAGAGTGTGAAGAAGAATCGAAGCCATTTCTGCAAGGAGTACACCTTTTTTGAGAAATTGGAAGATAGGTTTCAGCACTGCGGTACTTGAAACCAGCAATTGCTGATACCAAATTTAAAAGCAGACTGTGGCGTGTTTACATTCAGCAAGGCATCTCTCTGCTGGCCAGCTTAAGACAACGTCAATATGCTGCAATTTTAACTACTACAACTGGTTTGAAGGTGCTCTCTTTCGAATCTTAGCTATACTTCAAAGATAGCAGCCCTAACTCACAATTTTAAGAAATACCTTCCAGTTGTGATTTGCCACTCAGATCCTACCTGGGTCACTGATTTGAAGCTTCTTCTATGCATTAGGAAAAGAAAAAAG